CATAGGCAGTAAAGTTACATAATTTAACTAGTAATTATTACTAATTAGTCTAATCTCGATATAAAAACGAACTCACAATGTAACAAATTCTCAACTTACCGAACTTTTTCTTAAAAAGCCAGTTTCATATTATTTAAAAAAATCTCAATATACCGATTTTCATATAAAGCTTGATATAACAGTGATATAACATTTACCGAACTTTATGATTTACTGTTTATAAAGTATATAAAAAATTCTCGAACTGTGATCACGTGGTTTAAATTTCATATTCTTAATCACGTGACAGATTTACTTGAAGCTCGGTATATAAAAAACTTATGAACCATGAGTTCAGTCGGTATATCGAGATTTGACTGTATCCAAATATAAAATTTTCTCACTAAAAGTATGAATCTCATTAATAATACAAAAGATTTAAAAATTTCTACTATCTTATATTTAATTACAAATGTGATATCTAACAAAAATTTTACATTTTTCCATTTTTCGAAATATTTTTATAAAAAGTTCTAGATTATTACTAGCCGCAACCTGTTGCGTTATGATCTTATAATATTAACATATTTTTTTTATTTTAAGTAAGAAAAAAAATATATTTATTCTAACTAAAAAAAATCAAAGTATATTTATTCAATAAAAAAGTATTTTATTTCCGATCAAAACCTAAGAGGTGAAAAACGAAAAAAAAAGAAAAAAAAATTAGTAAAATAATTAAAATAATAAGAAAAAAAATTATTAAAATAAAAATCATACTTACTGTAGGATTGCAGACTTGCAGTGTTAGTGCGTCAGTCTAACCTGTGAATTTTCTTCCTTTTCTTTAGTTGTTTTAATCTATAAAAACGAATTATTAAAGTAAATTGTTAATATTATTAGTAAAATTAACCATGTAGTAAGCAAGTTAATGTAAATGAGTACCTAGACTGGGTTTAGTGAAATTTATTTTTTCTATGGATTCTAGGAAATAAAAAATAATTGTACGTTAAAGGTCCAATCACTGATCTAGATCTAAGCCTAAAAGACGAAATAAATAATAACGATAATATCTATATATAAAAAAAAAATTACATAAAAACATATTTGTATAGATTATTATAAAGAGAAAAAAACCAGGATGAAAAATATTGAAAATTTAAAAAATTTTTATTAAATCTCGGTTTTAAAAAATAAAAAAAAAAATATTAAATATTATAAGAATCCGGTCTAAACAAAAAGAAACCAAAAAAAATATTAAAAAAAATGATCCAGTCTAAAAAAAAACTGAAAAAAAGATCCAGTCCCAAAAAAAGGAGACCAAAAAAAAATATTATTAAAAAAAAAAAAAAAAANAAAAAAAAAAAGATATAGTCTAAAAAGGCCGAAAAAAAATATTATTAAATAAAAAAAAAGATCCAGTCTAACTGAAAAAAAATCCACATTCGGATAGTTACGGTAATCGATCTGCTGGCAGCAGATTGAAAGGGTGGGTGGGAATGGCCAAAAATGAAACATTATTAGTAAAACAAATTAAGTTTTTTTCGTTAATTAGCAAAAAAAACTATTTGATTAAACTTTCATTAACCGGAACTGTATTAGTGATCAGATTGGCCATCGAATGTACACATGACCCACTAATAATTATGGAATAGATCAGCCGCAGATGTGCTGTTTAGCTCATATTAAAAGTTATTAAAAAAGATTTTTGTGAACCATCCGGATGAATTTCCTTATTGCACTTTTCTAAAAATGATTCTTTTTATTAAAAATGCAATTTTTATAATATATGATATTTTGCTTTATAAACAGAAATATTCTTATTCTTTATTATTTGTTAAATAGTATAACCATTAATTAATGGCTTAAGTGCCTAATAGTTTATTAAAAAGATATCGATGCAACTTTAATACCAAATGGTTGTGGCTGAATATTTTGAAATGATGATTCCTCCCTATTGTTATTGATTAAAAAAAATATAATTTAAAATAAGAATACTACTAATATTAAAAAAATAATATTATTTAAAACCTGTTGCGGCCTATTGTTATTGACAAAAAAAAAAAAATATAATTTTTTAATAAAAATCGGCGTGCCCATTGTTATCGGGACAAAAAATAAAAAAAAAATTTAATTGCAGTTTATTTTAAAAAAATTGACCATATCAGAATTTAATATAGGCTCTTATATTTTTGCGAAATGAACTTGATTCAAAACTTGATGAAGTATATAAATCTAGAAAATATGATGGTAGTTCAAGTAGAGGTAGTAAACTGACTTTACTACCAGCACAGCACATTGCGAAAGATGGAAAAGTTTGGCTGCTATTATGGTTTCTTTCGTCTATCCAAAATTTAGCACCACAATGAGTGCAAATCTGACTAATCCTTCCCAGTAGTGCTTCGATCCGTGCACGGATAAAACCGCGGTATCCGGATATCCGAAAAAAAAAATAGCTATCCGGATACCGCGGTTTTATCCGGATAAAATATCCGGATAGAAAATATCCGGTTTGAACCGTTATCCGGATAAAAAAAATTATAAAATATTTTTTTTAATCATTTAAATTACCTTATTTATTGAAATTATTATCTATTAAATTACCATTTGTTAAAATCATAATCTATCTCACTAAAATTACTAGTAGAATATTCAATGGTCGGTAGTAATTCAGGCCATCTATAATGCCAGCCAGAATTTTGTGAAATTGATATTTGTCAAGAGGCAGCAGTATCCGGCCCAGCTTAACAAAATTTGGGATTTTTGTAATTTTGGCCGCCATTATATGTTTGGCCCAAATTACTGTTGATCCATGATTTAAAAAAAAAGATTTTTTCTAATAGTTAGGCTGAATTGATTAATTTTATGTTACAAAATGGTATATAAATATAATAAAAATAATTAATTTATGCCTAATCTTCCATTATTTTACGATTTTAATGTGCTTTTTATATTTATAATAATGTATTTATTGCGAAATTTTACGTTTCTCAAATTTTCAAAAAATTGACATAATTCAGGCAAAATTCGTAGTGCCGGCCGAAATTAAAATTTTATTTTATTTAAAATTAATAAAATGTCACTAATTTCGTTAAAAATATTAAGTCAAAATTTAATTAAGTTAATGCCACTGATATTATTTGTTAAGATCGATCAATGAAAAAAATTATTTATATATAATCTTATCCGGGTTTCGGTTTCTATCCGGATATATCCGGATTTATATCCGAACCGGATAATCCGGATAAAACCCGGATAATTTTTTTAATTTATCCGGATAACGGTTTCTACCCGGATCGAAGCACTACTTCCCAGGTCATGATGCTCTATGTTAATATACTGCCTATCTATAAGGCTTATACCCAATTTATGTTTGGTCTTTTTTTGCCTCTTTTCATAGTGATAATGTGCTTGTCTTTAATTATGTAATCTCTTTTTACGTTGTTCAGGTGCTTCACCTTCAAATATTTCCTGGAAAAAGACATAGATTTTAGTATTAACGATATTAATAATATTACACATTATATTTGTAGAAATTGTATTTTTATTTTTACATAAAAAAAGTATCATAGTAACATCATTATATATAAATTTTCTTTATTAGCATTAATATTATAGTTAATAATAAAAAAACAATATTTAAATAAGTATTATTATATAGTCATATTAATTAAATGTATTTCATTTTAGTTATATAGATTCAAATAAAGAAACAATATATTTATTTCAATTATTTCGCGGAAATGATCTTGTAGTAAAAAAAAAATCCTAAATTTACCAATAAGAAAAAAAGAAACAAAAAAAAGGTGCTTACCGTTGCCTGCAGAACCGATCCGATCACCCGATCCAAACCTAAATGGTGAAAAATTCGGTTGGAAAAAAAAGTCAAACTGAAAAAAGAAAAAGTGAAAAAAAATTTTTCGGATTGGAAAAAAAGCCAAAGCCAACCCGAGAAAAGAAAAATGTTTAAAGAATTCGAAAAAAAAAACCGAAAAAAAAAATTGGGAAAGAGAAAAATCGGTTGAAAAAAGAAACCGAAAGGTAAAAAGAAAGAAAAAATAAAAAGAAAAAAAGAAAAAAAACCAAAAAAAATCGGTCTTAAAAGGCCGAAACAATAGGATTATTTAATAAAAAAAAAAAATTTATTCTGTTTGGGAAAAAAAATTAAACCTAAATGGAAAAAGAATGAGAAAAACAAATTTTTCGATTTGAAGCTAAAAAAATATTTGAAAAAAAAATCGAAAATAATCAACAAAAAAATTTCCGATTAACGTTAACTGTTAAGGTAAAAATCTCATTAACTGAAATTGGATTAAATAGATCAGGTGGAGGCATGTCACGATTGTCACGGGTTTTAATTATATGGAATGGGATTTTAAGTTACATAATTCTAATTATTTATACGGAGACTAATCCAAACGTCAGACTAGTTATATAGATTTAGAAGTTTCAATTAATTGTCTATAAATCCTCTTAAATTTTAGTATTCATAACAAATAGATTCGATTTTCTCTTTTTTTGGACATTTTTTTTGATTTTTTTAGAAAAATATTAATCAAAAAAAAAAATAAGCGACAGAAAAAAAACAGGAAGTTTTAAGAAATAAATATATTTTTTTCTCGTAGACGATCATACGCCTTAAGTATCTGTTTATGTTGATCAAATACAAAACCTCTTCGTATGATGATAGTCATGATACGATTATGACCCTAAGAATGAGTTCAAGATTTGTTATACAAAAATTTCTACAATACAAAAATATTTATTTTAAGCAATTTTTTTTAAAAAAGTTTCTATTTTAAAACTTTTATATTATTTTTAAAACTTCGTGTGTAAAAATAAATATGCATGTTCATTGATGCGCCAGATGCGGTGATGCAGTGTCACTCTGTCATGTGGTATATCAATAGAAATTCAGCCGTTACACCATCAATTTGTATATAATTTGTATAACTTCGGTTTATTTGGTTTTTTTTTGCACCCCGTTTAAACAAATTCATATAAAAAAACATTCTATAATCATTATGTCTACCATTCGAATGAAACAAGTTAGTCAAGCAATTAATAGAGCATGGGCATCACTTGATTATAATACTCACGGAGGCTTACATGCTACATATGAATATATACGACAAACAATTCTTAATGATAGCTCTCTTACAGATGATGAAAAAACTGAAGCAATAAGAGAAAGTAATAAAGATTATGACCGAGATAAGATTAGATGTAATATAGGAACAAGAAGAATTTGTGAAAATTGTAATCAAAAATGTTTGGCTACATTATATTGCGAATATTGTGTTCAAAATTATTTAAAAGCAAGATTTTCAAATTGGACGTCTGGAAGTAATGATATTGACAACTTAATACAAAAATGTCAATTGGAAACTCATGAACCGGCAATGATAGTAGAATGGATCCCATATAATAATTTACAAAATATTAAACATCTAACTAAAGGGGGATTCTCTGATATTTATACAGCAAATTGGATTGACGGATATTATATTGAATGGGATACTAAAAAGCAACAATTAACAAGATTCGGAACTCAGCATGTAGCACTTAAAGAATTAGTAAATGTTGAAGGTGCAAGTCAAATTTGGTTTGAAGAGGTTTGTAATCTAATGACTTTTATTTAAACTTTTTTTAATTATTATCAATAAATTTAAAATATACTTCCATAGGCCAAATCTCATTTAAATATAAGCAATAAATATCCAAGAATTGTCAAGTGTTGTGGTTTAACTCAAAATCCATCAAATGGAAATTATATGCTTGTATTAAATTGGAGGGATGCAAATTTAAGAGAATATTTACAACGAAATCATAGTCGACTTACGTGGAAAGAAAGAATTAAAATCGTTTTTTCAATAATTGATGCGCTTCGTTGGATTCATAAAGAGAATTCGATTCATAGAGATTTGCATTCTGGAAATGTATTATATTCACAATATGCAGATTCTTGGTGTATTAGTGATCTTGGATTTTGTGGTCCTGCAGATAAATCATCAAAAAGTATATATGGAAATCTTCCTTACATAGCGCCCGAAGTTATTTCTGGAAGAAAGTATTCTTTTGCATCTGATATTTATAGTATTGGTATACTTATGTGGGAAATTTCGTCTGGACAACTTCCTTTTTGTAATTATGAACATGATTATAACCTTGCAATGAACATAGTTAATGGCGTAAGACCAAGAATAGTACCAGGAACTCCCTTAGAATATGAAAATTTAATTAAACAATGTTGGGATGCTGATTCACTAAAAAGACCTAACATTAATACACTTTTGTATGAAATTAGTGAAATTAATGCATCATTTCAAAATGTGTCAAATGAATCACAAGCAAATAATAATTTAAACAAAAGTAACTTAGAAAAAAATTATACTAGTAAAATGTTATTTACAAGTAAAGTCCATCAATTTGAAAATTTTCCTGAACCAAGGAATGCGACAAAAGGTATAATTACATTATATATTTATTGGATTTTTATCAATGTTATTTTTATTAATATTATTTCCTTAATTATACAATATGATAACAGAAGAACAAGAAGGTAACGCCAATTTAATGGGTTTATCTAAAATTGATCTATTAATAAATTGATTTGTTTATTATAATAACTTAAAATATTACTTATTTATAACAGCATTTTATAGTAAATCGTATGACTTAAACATTCCTGATAACTGTAAGTATTTTTTAAAATATTTCGTCAAATTTTAATGTATGTTAATATTTATTAATAATATTTTTTCATTTTTTCCCATTTTTAGTTGATGATTCCAACTCAAATTACGCTAGTACATCTAAAACAAGTAGAAAATTAAAAGGTAGTCATTTATTTTATATATTATTTGATTTATTTGATGTATTAATCTAATTTCTTAATTTTAGGATTTAGTAAAAGATTGTCTAAAATATTTAAACCCCTGAATCTAAATTCAAAAAATGGTAAGTAAATATACAGTATTAATGCATTTTATATTGTTAGTACAAGCGTTTTATTAAATATAATTTAAAAAAAAAAATTGATATTCAAAAATGATTAAATGATTATAAAGGGATAGGAAACAATGCAACTACAGGCTGAATGACGTAAATTGATATTGATATTAGGTGAGATATTTTTTTATATTAATATCTTTATATTGATTTCACTTCATAATTAAATTAAAGTTTTAATGAGTAATTATAATTAGTTTGTTTATTACTTTACAGATTATATGTCTCATTTTATTTTGGAATTTTTTTAAACACTAAGACTAGAGTACAGTATAAAGAAATCTCTTAGTTTGTAATTTAAATAATTCTCCTATATTTATATAAATTTAAAATTATTAATATATAAATTATCAACTTATCTCAGTTTAAATAACATAATGTAAATGGTATATTTATGATATCTAACAAATATTTTGTATTTTATCCTCAATTGAAATATCTTTTATAAAACATTCTAGATTATTATTTAGGAGTTTCAACTTTCAATTAATTGCCTGTAAGTCCTCTTAAATTTAGTAGTATTAATAATTCAAAAAGGAAAATTTTAAGATATAAGAAATAAAATTATGTCAAGTGCGAACGCTTTTTAGTATTAATTTATGTAGATCAAATACAAAATCTATTCGTTCAAAAGATTTGTTACCCAAAAATTCGTACAATGCAAATTTTTTTTTTAGAAGTTCTATTTTAAACTTTAATTATTTATAATACTTCGTGTGTAATAATAAATAATATGCATGTTCAATTGCAATGTTACATAATTTGTTGATTAGCGTACGCCCGAAAGATTCCGTAATCCGAAAAAAATTTTGTTACACAATGCAACGTTACATAATTTGTTTACCCAAAAAATTCCGTATACTTACTTTTTTGTCGTATTCTTTAGTATCTATTAATCTGAATTCATTTGTAATTTTAAAAAAAAAGTCAATGGATTTTTTTATCAAGAAGCTATTTAAGTCATCACATATTAAGAAATGTAAAAAATGTAAATATGCATGTCATGCAATGTATTTTCAGCGAAATTTCAAAAATTGGACTAGTGGTAATAATATTATTGATAAATTTATTCAAAATACTCAGCTATCAGAACATACTTATTGGGTAGAAAATGCATTAGAATGGATACCTTATGATAGATTGTATGATATTAGATATACTGCAAAAGATGAATTTGGAAAAGTGAATAGAGCAAATTGGATTGATGGATATCTAACTAATTGGGATAATGAAAATCAAAATTGGACGAGAGTAAACCAAAATATGTTTGTGGTTCTAAAAAGTTTAAATAATTTAAAGAATATTACAACTGAAATTGAAAATGAGGTATAATGAATTTATTAATAAAATTTTGAAGTTTTTAATTTTTACTAATATATTTAT